TCCCTTGCCCTGGCATGAGGCAACTGTGCCACGCACTGCACCACCATGCCACCCAAAAGAAGAATTTTTCAAAATGATTCTTTTAAATAACACTCACCCAGCACATTATTTTGTTGATTTTGCTTGATGCCGAATGCTGAAAGGCAGAATTTCCTATTCATTTAGCCTTTTAAAATTAAAATGGAATTTCCAATTCATTTATCCTTTTAAAATATCCTAAGCATTTTCAATGACAGTAATATTAAATTAGGAAAAAAATCTGCTTTAAAGTACATTTTCAAAGTACAAGTAAACGTACAAGACTTAGAATTTTGTAGTCTCCAGCATTAATTGGCACCAAGTAATTCTGTTTTCCCGGTTGGATTCACTGTAAAAAATTAACAGAGACTTTAGCCCTCAGAGAATATGCAACAGTTTTGGTTTTGTCCTGCAGAAACAAAGATAAATTCTGCATTCTAACTGAGTGAAGTAAACCCTTATTTGTATGGCTACATAGATAGATAAATGAAGAATTGTACAGAGATGTGTGGTTTTTCTGTTACTGAAAAAAATGCTCATTGTGGCAGAAACGCGAAACTTGATTTTCCCTGATTTTTCTCCCAGACATCTCACCTGGATCTAAAATATAGATCTCTGCAGGGTCTTGGAGAAATCTTTCTTTCCATTCCAGGAATCTCTGGACATGGTTAAATCGAAGGATGAAAAGATCTCAATCACTTCTTGTTCTGACTTAAATTCATCATATCTCTGGGTCTTGTTTGATTTTCTGATGTCTCATTTTTGAATGTCTTTTGATTTTTTTAATGCTACTTATAGTCCCAGTAGAATTTTTAGGAGACTTCAGACAGATAATAAAAACATTCAAAGTAACAAATTAGATATCCAGTTTTTCTCCTGAGAAAAAAGAAAGTAGCTTTGAGAAGTATGGATAACCTTGAAGGACTGGAGGAATGGCAGCGTAATACCGTATGCTTTGTATATCATACGGATATTATTTATTGGTTTATTTAACACAAAAGGTACTTCTTCTCCTAGCACTGAATTGACCCTTTTCAAATGGGTTCAGAAAAGACAGGAAATTTACTAGTGTGAGAATTTAGACAACAGTCTATATTGATCCAAGTTATTCACAAGAAACCATGGTCGTTTGGCCTTCTTTTTCAGCTATTCCCATAAAACGGGATTTGAAACGCTGTCAAAGACAATAACAGGCAGATGCAATTCTCATGATCTGGAAGCATGCAATATACAGTCAGAAACCAGTTTATTAGGTACCTGCATTAATTGGAACAGCTTCCTCCTCCAAACAGCAAATCATGTGGCTGCATCCAGGACACAGCCGGGGTCAAGGGACCCGTTCACATTAGGATGGTAGAGATGCACAATCCAAACGGTTTTAAACGTGGTGCGATTACTAGTGCCAGGTGTTGTGATTCCAGAATCTCGGAAACAGCCTCCCTTCTGGGATTTTTACACACTACGGTGTGTAGAGTTTATGGACAACGGTGCAATAACCAAAAAAAAAAACTGGTGGCAGTTCTGTGGACAAAAACACCTTGTTAATGAGAGAGGTGAGAGGAGAATGGACAGACTCGTCACAGCTAACAGGAAAGTCACGAAGGCAAATATATCCGCTTGGTACAATGGTGTGCAGAGAGGTCGCTCCGAAAGCACAGCCCATCTACCCTTGAAGCAGTTCTAGAGGTAAAAGGGGGTCATGCCTGGCATTAGCTAGGTGCGCCCCAAATCTCAGAAGAATGGGAGACACCAGGAGTGTTTACTGATATCGATGAGTTCCTACAAGAGGTGACGGGGGTTTGAGCTTCTATATAGAGCAGCTGTCGAGGAAGAGCACATAAACCTCTGAGCACTCGTCGTCGGTTAGAAAGCAGCTCTACATGGCGGCACTGAGAGAGCGTTGCTTTGGTCAGTTGCCGAGTGCGGTGGTTCAGGCGCCTACTGAGCGCCGCCACCTACTCCTTGACTACAGCACGGCTGCAGCAGAGAGATCAGGAATCCTTCCATTGCTCGAAGATCGCGCCAAAGGAGCCTCCACCCCCTTCCCAGACCGAGGCTGCCTCCACCCCCTTCCCAGACCGAGGCTGCCTCCACTGCTAGCGCTGCTTCGTCTGCCAAAATGCAACGGCTACATACCGTGGGAGTCGTTAGAGGTGCATCTGGGTCTCACGGTAAAGGGAAAGGCTCTGATGGCCCACCTTAGGTGCGTAGTCAAACTGCAGTCCTGCAGTTGGCACTGCGGCAAAGATTTGGGCAGCAGCGACCAGCCCAGCCCTTCTGGCAAGACCTAGCAAGCCAGCACTGCTGAAACAGGGAGAAATTAAAGGTCCTGCTCGCTGAGCTATGTTCCTTGGCTTAGGAGAGCTGCCCCAGCTATCCGTAGACTGTCCAAGGAAGATCTAGCTATTCAAACCTTCTTGGAGCATCTCACACTCGAGTGACTGCATCAGAGCGTCAACTGGCTGGCTGCATCAGCCGTTGAGAGATGCTGGCTGAAGCTGAACAGGCTGAGGCAATATTCTCCTCCGATGAAAATGGCAACAACTCATTCAGTGCAGCTGAGTAACTGAGCAAGGATGAGAACAGTGGTGGCAGGGGAACTCCATGAGATCAGCCGGGCAAAGCTAGAGAAAGGCCAGGAAACAGGGCCCAAGCTGGCATTGCTGTGGTCCGGGTTCCTCCAGGAATGGAGGCCTGAGTGGTTGACTGGTGTTGCCCATAGACTTACTGCTCCTAATGAAACAGACTGTCTTTTTGCCTGTTGTACCCACAGTGTGAGGGGCCAGCCCGTGATCAAGTGCTGTGGCACTGCTGCTACCCTTGGGCCTACAGAAAAGGGTGTTATGTGGTGTCCATGGGCTTGCTTTAGTGGGTCACTTCTGTGTCACACCCCCCCCCCCCTCACCACTAGTGCCAGTGGTTCAATTGAGCTGGATGCTGGTGGGATATCAAGCTCTACACACACCGTTGTGATGCCCACATCACCCAGAAGACTCCTGCCGATGATCCCTATGGCTTTCTCCAGTCACTTTGAAAGACTCAAACAACCCCACTGCACCCACAGAGCGACGGGTTGGTGGAGCAGTTCAACCGGACACTCACCATGCAGTTGGCCACCCTCCCTGCCCGGCACCAGCGGGACCAGGACCGCCATCTGCCACTAATGCTCTGGGCGTGCCGCTCCACCAGGCAGGAGTCCACCAGGTTCACGACGGCCATGCTCATGTTGGGGCGGGAACTGTGCCCCCCCCCGGTGGACCTGGCATTTGGGGCAGCACCAGAGCCAGACATCAGTGGTGAACCCGGACCAAAGTACCTGCGGGAGCTGCGGCAACGTCTGGAGGCAGCCCACGTCCTCGCTGGGGAGCACCTTGGCAGAACTAGGGCTCATCTGATCAGGCCTATGACACACTTTGCCCCCTCTTCAGATCACAGCTTCCGTCCAGAACTTATGAACTGTTGGGTGTGGTCACGCATTGTGGTGGATGAGCCGTCGGAGGTCATTTATTGAGTCTGCCCTGGGCCGGGGTGGAGCACGGGATTTTGCACAGGAAACATTTACCACCATATAACCCGATGTCAGCACCACGGTATCCCAAGGAGACAATAGTTCCCACATTTCTGCCAGGGACATTTCTGCCGAGCAGCAGCATGAATCTGAAGTGGGCTAGGAACCGGAATGTTGGGGCTGTCAGGTGGTCTGTGGGTCACCAGGGGAGTCAGTGCTAGGAGGGTGGTCTATGGAGCGTCTGCTGATGGCTGCAGTTCAGGATGGTCACGTCAGCTTTGGCGCTGTATTTAATTTGCGTATCAAGTTCGCGTCTGGCGAAGTTTGTTATTTATTGTCTGTTTTTATATGTTTTGTGTCGTTCCCCTAATTTAGTAGTTAATTAAGTAGTCCGAGTCGATTCATAGCTAGTTCGATTTCCCGTTGTGTTTTTAACGCGCTCTTTGTGCTGAGTGTGTCACCATCGATAGCTGCGTTTATACCCCGGTGTGTATCTGCCTCATTGCCTTGTACTTGGAACTGTTACTGCACAATGGTAATACAACTGAAATCTCTCCATGCATTCTGTGTCTCAGTCTCTGGCTTTATCCACTTGGCATCACAGTACATTCTAGAAAGTTGTCGAAATGTTCAGGTCAAATAAATATATTCTGCATATAACCTGAAGGTAACTTTTTCAAGAAATCGCAATATCCAGCACCTGACCTGGATAAGCAGTTATAATACTGATGGATGGAAAATGTCCAACGAATCCAAAATGGTGAAAGGCCCTATCAAGCGACCAAGGAGTGAATTAAACTTCAAGTATATGTTTCTTTATTTACTATTTTGCGAAAGTTGGCGAAAAGTTTTGCAGAAACCCGTAATTAAGAAAAGGGAAAGAAGCAGAAAGGTAGTCATCTTCAGGCCAACCTCCGCTCAAAGAGGTGTTCCTCTGTTTCCGCGGTGACCCTGCTCTTCCCTCAGCAAATAATTGGCTCCTCAGCCTCGTATCCTTCAGCGGAAATGTTAGCAAGGCCAGTCCAAGGACAGCACAAGCCCCTGAATGAGGTCGCAGTGGAGTGTTCCGAGTGGCAGCCCAATGCACTCCTACAACCCTGTTTATGAGGCAGCACTGTGCTCCTATTATCTCTCCATAAAAAATGCAGTTTGTATTGAAAAGCATGAGGAAGGTTTACTTTTAACTTTTCAGAATTCTTGGATGCCAGGAGTTAATGCAGCGAATAAATTACATGAAGTATTTCATGGGTTTTACGTGTCCAGTATTAGAAAAGTATGAAATGCATTTTCTATATCACAAGTCAACATTAAGCACCAAACCATATGCAAAAAAATACCCAAAATGAATTCTGAGGCTGTGCTGGAATGCATATAGTCAAATTCCACAGAAAAATTCAACAGAATTATGGTATTTATTTCTATAAGAAGCGCACGATAAATTATGTGTGAAATATTTTTGAAAAAAATAGTCACGAAAATATCAATAAATGTCATGCCTTTGTGAAAGAAATATGCTTAAAATATTAATTTAAAGTGTTTTTTTAAAAAACATTGGTAATGTAGTTTAAAAGACCTTAAATGAAAAATGAATTCCGTACCGTATATTACAGTAGTTTATTTTATTATGTATTTAATTACTCTAATGTTAAAACTGATTATTGGCCTTAGGCGGGACAACGTTGAAACGTTTAGAAAGTGAAAGCAAAAAAAAAAAAAAAAGGCAGTTCTTGGTAGAACAACTTCTCTGAATCCACAGAGAGACGCGCACGGGGAAAAACAGCATCGTTATTCTACCGTAAGCGCATTACCGCGACAAGAGAACCGCGTCAGGCATCAAAACTGTACGCTCCGTACTCTAAGGGCTAGAGAAACATATGTTACTGTCACACAGGACAGAGTCACAACACATTCACTGTTACTTCACAGCTGGCCTTCTTCCTGGGACCCATCAGAGAGATGCAGACAGAGAAAGGCTTTATCACGCTGCCTTAGATTCGGGCGTCTTGACGTCTGAAGGATCTGCAGGAGAAACAGGGAAGGCACTTACATCAGCTCAGTTACTAATATGCCAGCTATCGCTGTTTCAATCATTTAAAAATTATTTTGAAAGACGGATTTACGAAAAAAAAATGAATGTGGGAGTCAATTAAATTCATATAAATAGTTAAGCATTGTAATTACTGTCACTGACTTAGCAATGCAATGTACTTAGTGAGCGAAAGGCATAAATATGAACGGCTATAGCGCTGCACATAAATGTGATTTTTAATTGTTTCGTTTTTTTCCCCCTTTTAGGGAGACTGTAGGGGAAGGATTGTCCACCAGCGCCCTCTTCTGGCCATGGTCGTTAGGGCAACCTGCTGGTTAACGGCGGTATTATAGACGGACACAGCGATCCCGCCTCTCACCGAAGAGAGACCCACGTATCTTTCATCAAATGCTTCTCATAGTAAAGAATCAATGGAAAATACAATCAGACAGCATGAACAACCTTTTTTGTTCTTATGTCTTTGTGGGAAGCATAAATAAATAAAACCACCTTTAATTATTTTATATATATAATAAATAGTTGTGGATTTTAAATCCCAAAAGTGGTCTTACGGTATGGATGGCTTTAATATGTTATCGCTCAAAAGAGAGGGGAAGTAATTATTTAATGTAATTCAAGGAATTTAAGTTGTTATTTGCATACCGTGCAGGATAAGACTATGGCATTGTTTGCATTTTGTAGTGTTCTCTGAATATAAAGGTCTCCACGTAACGTAATGTACTGCATGTGGCGTTACTACTGTAGTTTAATAATGCTACATAATTGAACTTTGCGTTTTCTTCATCATCTAAAACTGCTATATTTGCACAACAGATGTGACTTTTTGGCATTGATCAGTTACCCTAACTCTCGTTTGCGTGGTTTATTTCTGCAAACGTGAAAGAGTAACATTATACAAATATTTAGGTCTTACATCATAGACAGACAGATAGATAGATAGATAGATAGATAGATAGATAGATAGATAGATAGATAGATAGATAGATGTATTTAACATTTTAAAATCAATCATGGGTTAATTTTATTCTTAAGATCCAACCATCATCCATCCATTTTCTATACCTGCTTGTCCTATGCAGGGTCACAGAGGTCTACAGACCATCTGTGTCTTATTCATCTGTTACATTAATCACAGCCATTATATTATATCCTGTATGGAATTCCAACAAAAACACCTATTCATTACGCAGTCGGGGCTCTTTGCTTTTGCTACATTATCTGTTTTTGTGTTTTGACTTGACTGCAGCACAATCGAGTGGCGGTGACACTCCTCTTACCGG